AGCAGGTACATCAATATGTTTAAAATCCACACTGTTATTCCTGAAATAAACAAGTTTAAATTCTTCCCAAACTATCCTTTCCAATCCAATCAATACACAATTAAACTGTTATGAGATAATGAAACAGGATTTTATTTAAAGCCAATACATCACAATGATTCTGAACTTTTTGAACCTAACACAGTAAAATTAAGTTTATATTTAATGTAACCTTCCGATGATTTTAAAACATACAGACAGACATACACTGTTGTTTACCTTGGTGGTGCTCTTCCGGTTAGATTCAATTTTGGAATGGGTAAAGTCTCAGTCACAATAGGATGGCAGGTACAAAGAGTAAACATTCCTCTGAAAACAAAATGTAAATTCAACTAACACATGTATACAGTTAGTTAAAAATCAGTGCAACCCAAAGTGAGCACAAACATCTGTCCTGAATTCCCCTTGGAGATAAAATATTTATACCGAGTTTAAACCAATATGAATTTGTTATTGATTCTCATGTAATGGACACTGAAAGATTGGCAATATTGGGTTGTAGCTCATGTAACTGTGATACCCACTACTATGCAGATCCAATTGATTTATTGATTATCAGACAGAATGGTGAACTGGCCAGTGCATGGTCTGCATAGTACATACAGCCTAGACTGATGTACAGTCTCAACACAGGAGATGATTTCATTCAAATCTTGGGGTAAACCATGTGGTACCGGTAATTATTTTGGTGGTACTGATCACCAAAACTGTCCTGCATGAAATTGGCATAGCATAGGCTTATCAGAGTACTGACCATTGGGGCTATAAATGTCAAGACCTGTCTGCTGACCTCTATCAGCACAGCACAGGACAGCTACAGATGTAGAGTAGAAAATGGTAGAAATGTGAATGTGTCCAAGTTTCATGGAATTGCATGTCACAGGTGTACTGGGAGTCTGGATACATTGTACAAGCCATTCATCTTTGTTTTGAAAAGAGATATTATTTCCACCAGGCTTGACAATTTTGACCAATGCACTGGGGCTGTCAGCTGAAAGATATGATATATTTTGTGCTATGTGTGGCGGTAAAAATGTTATATACACACCTTCCAACAGGTAATGCCATGGTTCTTTGACTGACAGCCAACAACTTCATCTCTTGTTCCTCTATGTAGTCATGATCACTGAGAAAAAGTACACAAAATTTAGCCATTCCATGACAAAACACAGCCTGAATGGCCAGGTTTAAACTAAAGTATGACGCAGTTTCCCATCTCTGTGGTATTACTCTGGATCAGTTAATTAAAGCCCGCCTAGCAGCAAATACATACAAAATGTAACAGTCAAGAATCAGCAGAGCCATCTACATGTACATGCTAGATTTCCACACAAAAGGTGGTATTCTTGGACATTGTTGTGAAGGAAAACATTTGAAACTAGTTTGAAGGGACAGTAGACAATCAAAGAGTTTAATCTGTATATCATGCATGTTTAATTCTTCTCTAGTATGGCAGCTCCTTGAAAATCAATATCTCCGTAAGTGAATGGTCTATAGTCACTGAAGTGTCACAATTTCTATTCAGAAATAAAATTAGTTTTCAAATCTTTTTTTAGCTTTACTAACTGCCAAAACAATTGAATTTACAGTTCTGTGATAAGATATATTTGTACTTGTTTCAAAACATATCTTGCACTCGTTTAAACATTCAAACACTTCTTTTTGTTTAAATCAAATGCAAAAGCACAAAAGCATGTTACGGGGGGGGGGATCCTGTCACTTTCATGAGATATTCAAACAAATGAAAATGTGCTAAGAAAACCTTTCACAAGTCTGCATAACTTGTAGGCAGAATCATAATTGATATACTAATCAATACATAGACAAAATAAAGATTTTCAAGAGGATGGTAACAAATTTGATTTCTCCTGTTTGAATATATATTTTTGGTGATTTTTTTCATTTCCATATGATAAATGTCTGACTTCTTCTGTACATGACACATTAAGGATTAAGGTAGCGAGAAGGGTTTTGTGACGTTTTCGAATAAAACATTCTCTGTCTGTTGTCTTGTTCAGAAGAGTAATTTAGCTTATATATTTCAAAAGACTAAATATAGAGGTACAAGTTCGCACAAACTGGACAGTCATTGTTTACATAATTATCACGTGACATCAAAAATGGCGAATCTTGTAAAAATGACTAAGTCCTCGATTGCGAGAGCACACTGCGGAATTTCCTGCTGAAATTTACGCCATGCATTGTCCGTAATCAAGTCCATTGAAATGCGTCTCCGATAATCAAAAGACCTATTATTCCGATTTCTATGCAGGTTTGTTTTTTTGTCCTCAAATTATTTCATACTTGCCACCTTTAACAGACTATTATTCTGTGACAAAGCATTTTCTTTAAAAACCCAGACATATTTCGCACTATCATTATCTTTTGAACGATAACTGTGAGTTTGAATGTCCTAGTCCGAACGCACTTGATTTGGCGGCGGTCCCAATGAGTCGTACTCAATCGAAACTTCGATTCGAGAAAAACGCGACAAACAGTTTTGGTTAATAAAACACTGTAGATTTGCAGCATTATTATAAATATACACTAAAAATGGCCAAACATAGTAACCACTGATATCATAGAGCTCATAAAGAGTGTCAGATAATGAATAATTTCAAGCTCGAGCGTGAAAAAT